CCCTACACGGGACACACACCTCCCCCTCCACTTCCACTTCTTTTGCTAAGGGAGGCTGGGAAGGAAAAGTTCCTCTGACAACTGAGTCCCCAGACCCAAAACAGACACGCGCGCCCCTCGCGAGCATCCTCCAGGCAGTGTTTTTGACCCTGTGGCCGGCCATCTCTAGTCAATGACTCTGAAGCAAAAAACAATTGTGAAACGATCAGTGAAAAACAACTAAGGAGAACAAACCTCTCGTCAGCTGAAACTCCCTGTGTTCGCACCGCAGCTGGGCCATTTTTAGGGTTGCACAGCTCCAAGCAGTTGCAAACCGCTGCCCTGGCAGTACCATGAGGGCCAAGGGCTCCTGCCCTGGCCCATTCCCCAGCCCTCGCCCCTCTTCACGTGCCCCCCGCCTCTCAGGAACCACCTCGTCTTAAAAATAGGCGTTTTAAGGGCTTTAAGGGCCTACGGGTTGCTCCGCTTGCGAGGGGATGCAGCCTCCCCTCAGCCCAGCCACGAGGCGACTGGCAGTTTAACGGTCCGCGGGCTGGGCCAGGAACCCGCTGGCCCCGTCTCTGCCGCTGCCAGGGGCGACGGGCGCTGCGGGGCCGGCACGGCGGGAAGCGCGGGGCCAATGTGCTCCCCTTGCTTGTGAGGGAAAGGGTATTTTTCACTCCTGCCCAGCTCACCACTGTGCCGCGACGAGTCCGAGCAAACCAGAATTTGGCCACCAAAATTGCAGCGCCATGAGAATGGGCGCTTGCACGGCGCGAGGAGGCCTTGCCCTCACTGGGATGGTGTTTCTGCCCCTGGGGAACCCGGTCCTCAAAAGAGAGTGAGAGGACGGGGAAGGGCACAAGGGAGAGTCGGGGACAGGGGCACTTTGCTGACACCTAAGCACGAAGAAAAGCAACGTGGCTGCGCAGAGACACACACGCTTCCACATACACATGGAAACTAATAACCACCCTCATCTCCATCTCCCAGTTATTTCACACTGGCAGGCAGTTTTAAAAGATTTTTTTTTCCGTGTGTCTACCTGCCTCATCCAGTTTGGCAAGTCGTTGTAACCCATTCTCATTTCATACGCAAGAAATAATAACTGCTTAGAAGAAAAGACATACACAACACGCACACACAAAAGCCTACAAAATCCACAGTATCTTTGAAAATCAAACAGATACCAACAAAAGCGTAAACTGTGCAAAAGAGAAGTATTTCTTCCTTCTCTGAGTATCTAGCTTGGACCATGCAAGTGAATCCACATGTAATGGAAGAAGATACATTTTAATCTTGATTTCCTTCTCAGTTACGAGTAGCCATTTCATTTCTCCACTGCCGGTCCCTCCCTGTGCCTCTGTGGGGCAGCAAAACACAGCAGCCTTCCCACAAGTGCTGCTTCATAAAACCATCCCGGGAAGGGGACCACGCCGAGGTACAAGGCACCACCGAAGGATCAGCTGCGGCCTGTACCTACCAGGTCAAGCAGTGGAGAAATCCAACCTAGGCAGATCCTGCCCCTTCTGCACTGCACAAAGGGACAGAGTCTGTGGACTTTGCACCCCATGTGGTAGTGAGAGCAGCTGGCTGCAAGCATCATGCTCTGCACATCAGCACAGAGACTTGCCAGGCCACGGTTAGGCTGCTAAGGGCATGTGTGAGGCAAAAGCAGAAACAATGATTTTTACTGTGGCTTGTAAGCAAAGGAGCCACTCTGAAGATACCCCAGCTCTCTGGAGCATGGGTTCTCCCTTCCCCATGTAGCAAAGGCTACTTACTTCGATGCTATACATGAAGGTGGCTTTCATGCTTCCTATCTACATATAAGCCAGCCTAAATATCCCTGTGGCCATCAGGTAAGCATGAACAATCAGGCAGAACGAGGAGTTCGGCCGACACTCTTTGTAAGCCAGTCAGGCACATAAGCCTACACAGCCTGGAATAGTTTGCTATTCCAGAGCACTGTCTGTACTGAGATCTACGCTTCTTCAGACTTCTCACTTCACGTAATTCCTGGTTTCAATCCACTGGCATTTTCTTTACCCATCACAACTCTTCGATTCCATCACACACAGAAATAAAACACACTGCCCAGAGATTTACTTCTGGTTCTGTTTCAGTCAAGGAGGAGCTCCTACTATTCTATCCAGGATCTAGCTCAAAACAACGATCCCGATTCCAACCCTTGTCTCACTGCCACTCCGAGTGGATAGCGCCACCACGTACTTCCCAGGAAGAACTTCCCTCGCAGGTTCACCATCTCCTGCCCCCTATGCCTTCAAGTTCCAGCCTAAACTGCATCTTCCTCCCTGCAAGTTTTGTTTCTGTTCTCCGTTCCATTTAAAATTTTAACTACGTGACAGAATTGCTTAATTTGCACCTGTTTGCAGATGAAGAAGCTACACAAAGGAGGTAGGCAGATGTGATAATAGGAAAATCAGCACTGAAAGGATAAGGAGATATTACCACATTAGTCCAAATTAGACTTCATATAGGAGCATTTCTTCGCCTTAAGCAGATCTGAGCCTGCCAACATAAGAACCCTAATTCTGGCTTACACCTGTTTTGATCTTGAGCATCCATTCACATTGAGTGCAAAAAAAATTCAAATTTGGCAGCTTCTCACATTCACTTTCTAAATGACTGCTCGGGATGCAAAACAGGGCAGAATTAAGCTCTTATCTGAAATTTTAAATAGCTCGCCTCTGACTTGTTTTGGTTAAGTATATGAAGAAGACAGAGCATGAAGATACGCCCTATTTGCAAAATGATGTTTTTCAGTAGATACTATGAAAACTATTTGACGATCTTAAAATGGCTTCTTCATCCATAAAACACCATGATGAGTTTGAATTTCCAGCTGTTGCATTTGTGATGCAAAAAGAAAGAGGATCGGAATGTCCTTGTGCCTCTCCTCAAATTCCAAGCAACACCCCATTTGTAAGATTAAATATCTGGTTCATTTTCCATTTATTTCCTTCTATAGCTTATCCAAGAACCAGTTTCAGAATGCATTAGCAGGTAAGCGACGCTTTTATTATTAACGTTGCCTTCTACATCCTCCAAGGAGTCTCAGAACCAAGAGGCATCAGACACACACCAGAATAATGTCTTCCAAGTATTTTCCTTTTCTGAGAGATTTTTCTATTCCACAGGCGACTGGTAGGTCCCCATTGGCTGGCAGTGATGTCACAGTCCCCGCTACGATACCCGCTAAGTGCAGACAGCTAATTGTGCTCCTTTTTAATGTGTAAATTCTGCTCCATAATAGCAATAAGACGCAGCAGACAATGCGTTTCAAGGAGATTACTGCCCTTTTGAGCAATTAAAGCTACTCAGCATTCAGCTTTAGAAACAGGGGTGAGGAAGTAATTTCGGTCATACAGGAGCTCTGGGCCTGTCTATTGAAACAGGCTGGCTGCCTGAGGGGAGAGGAAAGTCCCCCCCTGAAATGGGGTCCAGCCAGGAAGCACTTAGAGCAGCCTGAAGGCGATAATTATAGTGCTTTGAATTAGCATGAAGTGAGACAGACAGTTCTGAATAACACTGCTGTTAGTTTTAAAATCTGTGCAGGACAGTCTTGGGTGTCCTTTCATGAAACAAACAAACAGGTGACACTTTGTTCTCTTATTTCTGGTCCAGCATGATTCTCTGGTACCGTTATAATCATGGTTGTCTTAGTGCACAGGTGAAAGATAGCTTAGTTCTACAACTTGGGAAATACAGGCTAGTTAGTCACAGACTGCCATATGTGAATTTATGAATTTATGTGAGTCACAAAATCCACCTTATGCCATAGGATCCCCAGCAGTTAGAAGACGATAGCACTGTTCTGCCATTGGGCAACACTCATGTGGACTGCTCCAGCATAACAGTGATATGAACCATGACAGTAAAGAGGTCTTACGCTTCCTGATGCTCAAAATACACCATTTCTTTTAACTGAATGTCTTGCTTACATATGCAGCCTCACTTCACAGCACAAGCTGGTCTCCTCACAAGCTGGTTGAAAGCCTGGATCCACTAAGGCTGATTTATCACAGAAAATGTAGCACTATGACTAATGACAACCACATTGAGAGCTTTTGACTCAGCCCCACCCCCATTAAGACAGGAATTCTGCTGCTTCTCTGCTTCTCTCTGCTATTTGTTTCCTCTTTTTAACCTCTTTGCTCCCTCTTTTCTCTGGTTCTTTTTCCTGTCCTTTAAAAAATGCTTTTGCCTGTCTTTATGATAAATTCAGATCTTTAGAGAAGCAACTCTAATTCATGTGGTTTTAATTCCATCATATTAGGTATGAATTGGCCTTTATCAATGTGGCTGTTGTATCAGCTGATCTGTCATACCTCTCCTATCTTTCTTTCCTCTTCATTTCTGCTATTTCTCTTTACATTTCCACCAGGTCACTGCCATAAGCACATCAGTATTAATCCATATCTTATTAAATAAATGTTGTTGCTTCTTCTCCTTTTTTTTCATTTCCCTTTCATTCTCTCTCACAAGCACATCCTTCATTTCCTTCACTTCTCTCTTTTTCTTCCCCTCTCCTTCCCACCCACAGAATTTCCCTCTGACCAGCCCTGTCTCTGCTCCACCCGTGTTGGCAGAAGGCTTCTTTTGAGCTTACATTTGGCAAGTTCCTATATCACATTGTTATTTTGAAACCTTATTGAGAAAATCAGTGTAATTAATTGGGGTTTTGGGTTTTTTTTATTTATATATATATATATATTGTCTACCTAGAGGTATCCGCCCTTTCACTTTTCTGGTATTCTGGGCAATTAGACTGTTTCCATCCTCTTCATATTTTAGTGTGAGTCCAGTCTTATCCATATAGTCAATCCTCTCAACAAAAGCGTGGAATCTGTAACACAAAATAGTGTTTCACCGGTGTGTAAACTATGTAAATACCTTTGCAATTTTTATTGATATATGTCACACATATATCAAGTTCACTGTGCCATACAACTTTGGAATTATTTTCTTGCCTATTCAAGATATCTAAGCCTTCAACTTCAACATTATCAATATCATGAAATATTCTAGACATTATAGAGTCTTTTTTTTTTTTTATGAAGAACACCCTTTCATTTTGGTACTGTTTACTGTGAGGCATCTTCTGCTACAATCTTCTGGATGTCAGCTTTAATTAACACTTGGAGCATACGGAGCAAGCACATTATTTCCCTAACACCTTAGAATCAGCTCATCCTTCTATCTCAAAGGCCCAAAAGAAACATTTATTTTACTATTGGCATGTAAGTTATGAATTTAAACAGACATTTATGCTCACTGTCCAAAAAAAAAAAAAGAGCTCTCAGATAAAAAAACAGAATCAGAGAATCAGATTCAAACTATGAAGAGTCCATGAACCTTGGCCATTCCTGTGGTGAAGTTGGCTTAAACTTATATAAAATTATTGGCAAATACCCACCAGCAAGATATTTGTAGACCTACTAAGTCTCTGCACAAGCTAGACTCATGCAAAATTACTGAAGACTCAGTGGGAATCATATGAGATGAAGCAGTTCTTCTCAGATCCCTGCCACATCCCTCGTGCCTCTTTCTCTACTGTACAAGATACGTTCACCTTTCTTATATAAAAGGAAAATAAAACATTGCCAAAAGAAAATGAAGGATGGTGAGTAGCAGTGCACTTGATATCATGGAGGTACTGCAGTTCTAAATGACCACAGTCATTTAAACATACATCAGACCTCAGCAAACGTAATACTTTCCCACCACACTGCTTTTGGCAGACACTCCATCACTTAAAAGCTACTTCTAAACACAGATGGCTATAAAAGAGCTAAGCAGCTGCCATCTTACCAACTGCTCTGCTGCCTTTTGGGAGACTTCTACCATTGGAGGTCTTTCCACTCCTGTACAACTTACAGTAAAACTTACAGAACTGGCAACTATTTCACAGCTCTGTGACTTAGTGTGACTTTCGTTACTGAAACAAACACCTACTGACTCCTACTACCCTCCTGCTTTTCACCATGAGCTTCGTATCATGTTTTTTTGTCTTTTTCTTCTTATTATTATTTTGTTACCAGCATCAAGATCAAAGTCATATTATCCATGTCTACTAAAGGTTGATTCTAGATTCACATGACTGGTTCCCAGGATAAGGCAGCCAACAAGGCATGTGAAATACTTTAATTTCTGTCAACCACATCAAAATAGATCCTGGAGAGCATGGAACAGAACTGCAGCTTCACATCAACAGGTCTATTCAATAAGACTACCTCAATATTTTGTTATTCACAGAAATGCCCATGACAGGCATTACCTTTTCAGGACATGCGTATATCTCACTTGATCCAACAAAACCATAATCATTTGCTAGACGCTACAATATTACCAAAATACAAAGCAAGACAACAAAAATTGCTTCAGTTCTTGCTGTGACCCTTTCCCTTGAACACTTTTTTCAGTATCCAAAAGAAGAGCAGAAGAAGGACAATTTAGGATATAAATAAGGAATGGCCTATTTGGAAGTCAGGGAATATCCATCTAAAGAGAAGCTTGGTCTGCTCTAGTAGGCCTCATATTTTACTCATAGTTCTTTAACTGATTTCCTCTATTTTCCTGGACCACTTACGGAATACATATTGAATAGTCTCATTTTCTCCATAAAAAGGAGATAAAATATGGATAATCTCGAGTGGGGTATCTTGAGATACTGTTCATATCAGAAAAATACTTTACAAATACCGAAATTATTACTGTGCTTCTTTTTTGTCATACCTGCCAGAAGTCAAGCGGCTCAACTCCTTCAGGAAAATAACAGTTCCATCTTCCCTGGCGTTGAAAGATACAGTGTTGACAGGACAGGGGCCATGACAAACCTTCTGCAGAAGCAGCTGCCTTGTGTCTCCAGGAACATCACCCACAGCAAAGAAATAAACAGCTTCAACCTGCCATTAAACAGAAAAAAAAACGGGAATATTGGCTGTTTTGCAGAGATCCCTGTCACTTGTTCAAACTCTGTCCTGTGCTGAGTACTTGAATGAAAAACTGCTTGAACCGATACACTACTTGGACTATAAGACTTGCACATAGTTGGTTCTCCCTCTCACTTAACCTAGCTACTCAAAGTATAATATGCATCGCACTTCCTGAAATGAGAAATGAATCTGGTTCACAGCCTCTGGGTCTGATTCTGCCCAACACGAACTCCTTACCTTCTACAAGTTAAGAGAAAAACAGAGACAGGTGTAAGAGATGACACCTTTACTCTTAGTCAGGATGAGGTGTTCTGCTGCATTCTGCTTTTAAGAAGAGAGATGCTCTGTAGGTGTCTTGCCAGGATTAAAAATCAGAAAGAACTTTTATTCCAAAATGAGATGAGTTGGCAGCACATATTTTGAGAGCTAGGAAAGATGCAACATTCTTTAAACTCTATTGCAGGTATTTAGAGATTCGTATTCTTTATTCTTCCCAAGGCAGAGGGAGCTTGGCATGTTTGTTATGACCACACACATGTATTATGAAAATATTGCTGCAAGAAGAGTTAGAAAGTGAAGAAATGTCTTCTAGTTACTGCCTGTGTGTTACACTGTAATAGCTGCGAGGTTGCCTCCACATATTCATACTAACAATCCTCAGGGTAAGTATGCCTCTTCTAATACTAACGTTAAAGACACAAACAAATGTATTTCGTTAAATTGAACAAGTAACAGAATACTAGCTTCACAGAAACAAAAGGAAGAGATGCTTGCAGCTCTCTGCTTCAGTTCTAAAAGCTACCCTCTCTGTTTCACTCTGCTAAAAAGCTTTTGGAGCAGTGCACAGCTCTCCCAGCTGGGAGCCAGTCCTGAGACTACACCCTTGCCCGGGAAATTCCTTTTGCTGAAGAGCCTCTGGCCTGGGGACACACACACGTGTTGCACAACCACTCTTCTCTGTGCTCCTCCTGATTCCCATGTTCTCCTCCTTCCCATGACTGCCAATAATTCATAAACTTGGTAATTAATTAGGATATCAATCTTATATTTCTTCCAAGGAATTTACTGCCTGTCCCTGCAACTCCTAAAATGTTGAAGTTTTTTGGGCTTAGCTGATAGAAAACTAGCTGCTGACAAGAAAATGAACAGAACTGCTTAGCAGAGCGTACTCCACTACAAACCCAGCAGTAACGTACCATGAAGGAAATGCTTCTGACAGATCACTGGGGGAAAGGTTCAAACCTTTGTGTGCAGCCCTTCATATTTTGAAAACAATTACGTACACAGGCATCTAAACCAGCAAGCAGACTTCCTAAAAGGACAGGACAGACAGCAGCAGTTCCTCACAGTCTTTATCTGGCTGGAGAGGTGCAGTGTGACCCCTGTCTCAAGCTTGCAGCAGTGGTGTGACACCCTGATGCGACACACCTGCATGAACTGCAAGTTAAGCACAGGTGCAGATGTGGCAGGTACAGCTCAAAGGGTTGCAACTTTTCGGCACAATGAGCTCTAGCATGGGAGAGACAGTTGTTAAGAAAGGAAATCAAGAGAGTAGCCACACAGGGGAAGAAAAGCTCCACTAAAGGAATGGCAGGGAGAGCCAAGTCCAGGCGAAAAAGGGAGCTATTGTTTTGGAACAATTTCTGTTGAGGAAGCGAGCTGCAAGGAGTGAGTCATTTCTGACTGCTCAGTGAGTATGCGGCTTGTGCTGGGGCTGCATGAAGGCTCCACCAGGCTGCACCAGAGCGAGGCTTGCACTCCAGCTGAACCATCAGGCATGAATGATAATGACTGCACTTAGGAGTAATTAAAGTCTGCTTTATATTGATTACCTGCCAAAACTGACTTGCTCAGCTTACCCACTAGCCCACCAATGTTCAGAAAAGAATAATAGGTGTTTCACTGTCAGCTGGATTTTAATTTATGTTTATTCACACTCAGACCTGCCAGGTCCAACAAGCCTTTTTTTTTTCCATGCAGACAATAGTGCAATCTAAATATGATCTTTTTGTGCTTCCCACCAGGAAATTGGTAATATGTTGCAAATTGAAAATGTTAATGAAATTTTATGAAAGAGGCATCTAAAAAAGCAGTCATAAAAAATGTCACTCTTGCACAATTCGCTCCTCACCCAGTCCCTTTTCAAACATCAAGGTTCATCCAGTTAAGAATTCACCAATACAGAGAGCCCAAAAGGAACTAAAATCCAATTTACCTTCTCCTTCAAACAAAGTCTCAGAACAAGGAAGTTAGAATTGAATATGTGCAGATGGCTGGATCTTTATGACAGTAAAAACTAATGATTCCAGTGCACACACAATGGGCCCAGTTTTCCATTAAATTCAGGTGCCAGAGAGCTGAATCAATTTACACTGCAAGCAAACTTCATCCAATGCCTCTTTCATGACACATGTTCTAAGTGACTAGCTCGAAGGACGGCATGTATTATTCTTATGTCTTGTGGATCTGCTACAATGAATAATGTAATACGGCACTTTTAGGAATAGATAGAATTTAATTGCAACAATATTTGGACGTACTTTGTCCTATTGTCCTGGAAGAAACTTTATCTATAATGGGAATGATGAAAAAAAAAATTACAGACCCTGCACTCTGCTAATCCTTAGGTAAAATTCTGTACATATTATTTTGGATTTCAAGTAAAATTTTCCATGAGAACTTTAGATATGTTATAAAATAAAAATGATTTCACTGTCTCCAGTAATTTTAATATGAATAATATTTTTATAAGCTTGAGACCCTGAAAAACATCTATGGTAAAGACGGTGGAAGGCAAGATATTTTCTCTTTC